GTAAAATAGTTTTTTTATATGTTGCACACCGGGTGAAAAGTCAGTCGTGTAACATCGACGGTCGCTCCTGTAGAATAGTTCTTGGAACTATACAGTTTATGTAGTTTGAACAGTTGATCGGCGATCCATATAAACAAACTGTATAATTTATAGATGTGACCATATTAAAAGAGCCCATTTTGACAATTTTTGTTTGATTTTTGAATATATATAATAAAAGGATCCATAAAATAAAGTAAAAATTTTTATACATGTTCCTATTTGATCAAAATTGGTTATATGTAAAAATAGGCGGGACAAGCCATACATTTCATACAGCTTTATCAAAAAGTTAAACATATTAAGTGATGTATCATAAAGACGTTGAATTGTAACTTGAAAATGATAATCTTTCATATTATTCCGGATTGCCAATCAACGGATCACATCATTATATCGATTTGGCCATAAAAGAATTGTTTTCAGATGTCCCAAAAAAATAATGAAAACAGCTGTAAAACATAATAAAAATTTTTTTCAAAATTTGACCCGGCCGAGTTACGAGAACCAATTAATTAACTTTACATGGCAATTATCAATGGATACTTATTTAAGAAGTGAATGTAAAATTTTAATTCAAGTTAAGGGAGTTGTTCTAGGCAGTTGTTAGCATTTGGACTATGTTCATATTTTTGAAAAAATTTGGACATAGTCCAAATGTACATGTCCAATTGAAAAATGACTATGTCCATATTTTGTCCATATTATTTTAATTAGTCCAAGTGCCAACACTGGTTCTAGGATAATATTATTTTTGAATGAATTCATCGAAAGAAAGTTTCGAAAAAATTTTTTGTTTCAAAAGTGTTAATATGACGACATCATAGCTTATTTATGGCACAATGAAATGAAATTTTCTATCTTATATGTTATTGATTTTGTTTTAAAAATTCATCAGAAGGATTTTAGTTAACTAATTTGTTCAACGCTTTGTAAGTGAAATTTAGGTTCAAAAAATGTTTCGATTTTAACATTTCTATATTCTTTTCGAATTTGTTTATGAGCGAATTCAATGTCTTGGCTAATGATTTCCACATGATTTATTATCTGGGTTGTTTCTTGATATGTAGGTTTGGAGTAAGAAGCTTTGGGAAATTCATCTGATCCCGTGGTTTATTTAAAGTCATATCAAGTATTCAATTATTTGCTCTCGAGTTAATATAATAGGATTATACCTGATACGATTTTGCCGTATCAGTAACTTGCCAAATGCCGTAATCACTCATTAGGACGATTTGTCTGCATCGCTAATATGGTTTGTGTGATGATATGAGGCAATAATACACAGCCATATATAATTGACCTTAAAGCATTGTATAGTTCTTTGAACGTAATGGATCTATTGAAAAAGTTAAGGTAAAAATTGTATAATGCTTTTGTTATTATCGAGAAGTAGTTTGACAAGTATAATCATAATAATAAAACGACACTTTGAATTTCAACACAGACAAGCAAATATTGTTATTTTTACATGCTAAAATTTTATTAAATTGAGATTGGGTCCACCTAAAATTTTCTAATAATTCAACCATTTAATTGCTTAACCGCTGAAGTATCATAAACGTGAAATAACACTCATAAGTGTAATTTTGAAGTTTGGCCCAGATTAAGCTTAATTCGGACCATTATTCAAAACAATACTCTGGGAGTTATTTCATGTTTAAACGGTAATTGTGTTGACTACATATTTGCGCAGTAGTACCGTTGGCCATTGAACTTAGATGCTGCACAAAAAATGTGCGGCAGATCCTCGATTTTGATTGGCTAAGAGCGACGATCAAAAATTAGGCCAGAATTACTCATAATTTTACTAATGAAATCGCAGCCGCCTATTAAGTGAAAATTGTTCCTGGGTCAATTTTAGCATAATGCGGGCTTATTTCTTAAAAATTTCTATTTTTGTAATGAAAAAATTAAAAAGTTACCTTCGGCCGGAAATTAAACAATTATGTAATGTAGGCCAAAATTTTGAAGATCCCCGGCCGTTAGCCAATCAAAATCGAGGATCTGCCGCGCATTTTTTGTGCGGCACCTAGGGTTAATACCGTTGGCCACTGCATAAAGTACCCGGGGTCTTATTCAAGAACTTCGTTTTTGAAATTGAATAGTACCCGTGGATATTGTGTGAGGGGATATATCATATTAAAAGTAGTAAATCATTATAGTTATACACCCGGGTCTTATTCAAGAATTAAGTAGGATGGGTAGTGAATAATACCCGGGTCTTAATCACTGTATGCAGTGGCCAACGGTAATTAATATACCACGTGATAAAATAATACCGGGAATTTTCGCAACTGGGTTCAAAAATACAAAATACAAAAATTACGTACGTACGTATATACGTGTATCAGCCCCCTTAATTAATTATGCATTATCTAAAATTATAGTTGATTACTGATATCTTAATCGCTATATATATAGAAATAAAAAGTATTGTCATAATTAGTATGATTCCGACTAATCTGAGTTTTTTTACAGTAGTTAATAAACTTCGATCATCGCTAATAAACATCGATATGATGAATTAAATAAGGATTTAATAAAAGTTTGGTCCGCAATTTTTGACGCAACTTTTCGAATTAGCTGAAAAGTACTATAAAATGTATAAATTATGATTTTCATGAAATGTGCTATTTTAGGTATGTACAGTACGTCCCTGTTCCAAATCTGGAGTAAAACATCGCGTTTTTGGAGCGGGCTACTGTATACCACAAATAGGGCAGGTATAAATGCTTGATTTTTTTAACGAACAGTATGATGCTCTACCTCTTTTTTTTTTAGAGAAAAGTAGGCGTGCCTTAGTAAACCATTGAGAATCAAAAAAAAGGAATTTTTAGTGGCCGTTAAATAAGTAAACCAGGAGAACAACGAAAGAAAATACATACCCGAGTTCTGTGAACAAATGAGAATGGAAGGCACAAATGACAGTACCGTTGGTCAAGTTTTTCCATGTTCGTACATGTTAATTTCACCTTCACCGATGGGCAAGTATTTCATTTTTAAATGCTTGTTTAGCATTGCATGTTTAGTGGTGATTGAAGGTGTAAGTGACGCTGCGGTTGAGTGAGCTTTTCAGGCCCGGTCTTGGTCTTGCCGCTGAAAAGAATCGCCCGTGTAGACCCTCTCATTGTTGGAAATTGTTAAGATTGATTCGAATCATCATTTCTTATTGATTTTTTTTAACGAACACGATGACGATATGATGTGCTGACTTTTATTTTATTTTTTTCTTTTAGAGAAAGTGCCTTATTAAAACGTTGAGAGTCAAAAGAAAGGAATTTTTAGTGGCCGTTTAAACAAGGATAGTCAACAAGAACAGTGAAAGAAAACACATACTGCATTCGGTGAACAAAGGAAAATGGGAGGTGTCAAATGCCGGTGCTGTTGGTTATGAAATAATGGTCTTTTTTCCGTGATCGAACATGATAAATTCACCACCGATGAGGCAAAATAATGCAAATCGGGATCACTAGAAAACGATACCTAACAAAGGTACAATAGAAACGGATACGTTTTGGCAAGGCAAGATAGATCAGGCATGCTACGAGTATACGGGTTCAAAATTGCACGGTTTATTGTTTTGCTAGGGGTTACAATATGAACTAAGAAAAGCAAAATTTATTCTTATACAGACATCATATCTCATAGGCAGATTTTCGTATGATTGGTTGTTTAAATCAGTTTAGTTTTACATTATTTATACAGTTTAAAGTACTTTTTAAAAAAAATAAAACTACGAAGAATAAACAAAAAAGAAGTATAT